ATTCTTAAAATAAAATCTTTCATATTTGAACAAATCCCTATTAAAAATTTCACAATCATATTCATTGAAAACTTTCCTCTTAAATTGATAAAAACAAAAGATTTCTGATTTTTATCGAGAGTTTTCTTAAGTGATTTGTTCGCTTAAGATGTAATTAACTATAGGGATTTGTCATTATAAAGAACTTAAAAGAATCCAGAATTAAAATAAACTCTATTTAACTCCCATATCGAATAGAGGAATCTGTCAATCATCATGCAAACTTGCAGATCAAACGGAAGTCATTTATTTCTATAGTTTATTTAATTGAGTTTATCATCAAGTAGTGTATTACCTTTCAGGATGGTACATTACTCGTGGTTAGCTCGATTGTTCAAACTGTAGGAATCAATGGGATCAGTTTGACTTTATTTTCTTCAAATTAAAATACATAATTTCTAAATACTATATTACACTAAATTAAACCGCACACAGCCCTATGACGACCGACAAATTCTAGGAAAAACTTGAATTATGGAGGTTTACATTGGAGTCTAAAGGTATTCGTTTGAGTAGAACTAAAACTAAATACATGGAATGTAATTAAATACATGGATAAATACATGGAATGTAATTTTAGTAGCAGTAGTTCAAGTGACAGAGTTGTAACTATAGGTGATCAAATAATTAAAATGTGTGAACGCTTTAGATATCTCGGGTTTATTGTTTAAAATGATGATGATATAGGTGGGAATGTTATGAGTACAATTCAAGTTGGTTGGTTGAAGTGGAGGAATGCTTCGGGCCTATTGTGTGATAGAAAATTATAGCTTTAAATTGAAAGGAAATTTTATAAGATAATTGTGAGACCTACAATGCTCTATGGCGCACAATGTTGGCCTTTAAAAGAGAAGCATAAAATTAAGTTAAGTGTTGTCGAGATAAGAATGTTTAGGTGGATGAGTGGCTTTACACTTAGAGATAAAATGCGAAATAAATATATCCGTGATAGGGTTGGTGTAGCTCCAATGGCGGACAAAATTAGAGAGAATCTTCTTAGATAGTTTGATCACATTAAACGTTGACCATCTGTGATCCGTTTAAGAGAGTAGATGTTTTAGATTTGACTTATGTTAAAAAAAATAGAGGTAGACCTAAAAAGGCTTGGGCATATTGTATAAAAAAATGATCTGAAATTATTAGAATTAAATGAAATTATGACACTCAAAAGAACGCAATAGAAGAAAAGGATTCATGTAGCCGACCCCACTTAGTGGGACAAAAGCTTGTTATTGTTGTTGTTGTGGTGGTTTGAATATGCACAAAAATAGTGTAAAAGATGCACAAATAAGATGAATTGTAAAAATTAAAGTGGAATGATAGGAAGCAAAATGAGTGGACGTAATTTTGAATGGCTTGAACTTGTAAAAAATTTACAATATAGTTAGGAGCTTATGCAACTAAGAAGGAATAAATGGAGAAAATCATGAATCCAGTCAAATGATTAGGATACGACAAATGATGCTGCAAATGAATATTAATACAAAATATTAAGAAATAAATTGCTTTCAACAATTGCATGGATGAACTGACAATAAATATCTATAATAAGTTATTCCAATTAAGATAATGATAATGGGTGGGATTAGTTTTGAAGTATATGAAAAATTAAAATAATGGAGGAAAGCCTTCAAGGCAAAGTCTACTATGATGCTCAAGATCAATAATAGAAAAAATGGATGCTAGAAACATAACTTTAGTGACCATAAAATTATGTTTCTAAATGTTAATAAAAATAAAGAATCAACAGATATATAAGGGTAAGAAGTTTACATACCATTAACGTATTGCACAAAAAAGGAAGCTAGATGAGGATATAACAATCAGAATAAATATTGAGATTAAAATAGATAAGAGACTTAGATTGTCGTGTGACGTCTTGGATACAAGAAGACAAAAATTGTGAAACAAACATAAGATCAAAATAAATTCTTAAAAAGCGAGTTGCATTCAGAAAGGAATGAGAATAAAAATGCATGTTTGGTCGACCGTGAAGGGTGGAGTGATTTGAAAATGCGCGTATAGAGTTGCAAATGTAATTATAAAATAAAATATCAAATATATAAATTATAAGAAGGAGAAATGTATACATGATAAGCAGTGTTTTACTTCTGATTGGTTTAGGGCAAATAAGGATAGAATGAGTAGTTAAAGTTGGCACTTTCTAGTCAAGCACATGCATGATGGACTAAGCATATAAAAGAAAGAAAAATGTATGACAAACATGCAATGTATTACGTCTTATTATTAGTTAGTGCAAAGGTACCTTTTTATGTCCACAGCGAAACTCTGTAGTATATGTTAAGGCTTGTTTGGTTTAAGAGTAAGAATTAAAATAATAGAACAAATAGACTCTATTAGCCTTAGTCCTTCTTTATCCAAATAAATCCAAACTTAGGGAAACATGTGTTTCAGAAATTATATTTTCTTCGCCCGATAAGATGGCATGAGATGTACTAAAAATAAAAACTTTTTTTTTCGAAAAGCTAAAATGGTTTTAATGTGTGGAAGGAATTCACAATCATAGCATGAAATAAAGCCAAAACCTATAATTTCCTCAAATATTCCCCATCCCATTTTTTCCAGAAGATGGACAAAAAGAAGGAATAACCCGCCATCCTAGCAGACCTAAGTTCTTGTTTATTTCGAGAAACACGTCACAGTTAAAAAGGGAAATACAAAGGCTGAGGTGGTTTTCCTTGCATTCAAAAAAATGCTAAAATAAATAGAAGGTAGCTAATGATGATGCATTTGTTAGTAAACGTGTTGAACTTTTATACAAAAGGTTAACCGGGAATGACTGTTATGAACCTTCAAGTAAAATAAATAAACATGTTGAACTTTTATACAAAGTGTTAACCGGGAATGACTCTTTTAAACCTTCAAGTAAAATAAAAGAGATCAAATGCATCAGAAAGACATCAAAATTTACATGTGCTAACAAATGGTTACCTAAGTCTGCAATACACAGACACTTGCCAGCTGAGTTTCTCATCTCGTATTTTTGTAAAAGTTCATATCCCAATGCATTGAGATCTCAGCCTCTTAGAAATAGAAAGAGAGTTATTTTTCCAGTTACAGCAGAATTTATTTTCTTGCAGAAAAAAAAAACTTCGGGCTATCATTTGAAGAAACCATGGGATTTCATTTAGATCAACAAGTGCTCTAATTTAGATTTCAATATATTTTTTTCTAAAAATGCTATATTGCTATTATGTCCTATCACTTTATTCAAAAACATAAAAGTTCATGAAGAAAAATAGAAGTCTTTTTATTTGAAGGCTCATGAAAGGCAAATTATTGCATGGACCTAAGGAGCACCTTTATTCAACAGTCCTAAAGAGGGACTATCATTGCATGGATCCCAGGAGAGCCAAAAACATTTTTTTCTTAAAGTTAAATTCTCCAAAAGGCATGTTGATTTAATAGCCTTATAAGACACTCAGTGCTAGACAGAATCCTTACAAATTATCCAATGGAACACATTAAAAATAAGTGACAAATAGGGTCTTCGCTTATCTAAACATTCCAAAAGGCACACTGATTCCGCAACTCCGGCACCTAGTGTTGGAGAGAGTCCTCATTTCAAGTTCCCACACTAATTCGGAAGTTGGGGCACCTAGTGTTAAAAAGGGACATCACTTCAAGTTCCTTCCATAATGCTTGGACCCAAGATGGCAAGTGGAAGATAGCATCTCCAACTATCTAAAAGTTATGGAAAAGTGTGCTAATTGAAAAGCCTCAAAATAACACCTAATTTTGGATAGAGTTCTCATTAAAAGTCCTCATAAAATAAAATAATAGGTAGTGTTTTCACTTATCTATAATTCCCAAGGGGACATAATGATTTGCAAACCTCAAAAGCACTTAATTTTGGGCAGGTCCTCACAAAAAAGCCCCTATTATGGCCTATCATCATATGAGCCCTAGAAAGGCATAAAACAGCAAAAGGAATTAAAGACTATATAGCCACATCATTCAAGGGATTAGATCTACTCTCTGATCTAGGGACAATATCCTGTCACTATTAACATGTCTATTGACTAGAATTAACATCTAGAATATGCCAATGAAGTTGATTTAAAGGAATAACAGAGCTTACATGGATGTTATGTAGTAATAGAACACCCATGCCTTTGTTGTTACTATTATCACCTTCATTAGCTCATTTCTCGTCATAACAGAATAGCCTCTCTTTTGTGTTAATCTTTCATACCGAACATAAAAATGCAGGATAAAAAAACTTTGTGGCCTAAATAGATCGTTAATTTTGTACTTCATACTTGATATTAGATCCAAAACCTTGAGTTTATAATAGACGCCAGTTTAATGTTATGCTAAGGTCAACTAAATGATCGTGAAATCTTAGCATAGTAACGGTAAAGTAACATTCAAATAAATGCATTGATGCCACTTAAACTTCATGTCCAATTCATCAACAAGATTTTTTTAGATTGTAACAGTTCTAAAATGTAGCACTTCAGTGGTGAAGAAAATAATTATGCCATTATATAGACTCTATAAAAATGTATACGAATAGGACAGGCGTTTCATATAAAACAACTAAACTGTCATATAACATCACAGACCAAAAGGAACTGGAGAGTGTGTCATCAAGTTGGAGGAATTATTATTTGGAACACGTTAAGTTCGATAGTTTCAATCTAATTATTTCATAGAGTCTTATCCACACTTTTTTTTCTACAGCATTCCTACAGTTGTTATTTTATTTAGAAATCCAAAGTTCCTCTGATTTGATAAATTAGATTTCATGGAGCTGTCTTCAAAATTGTAAAAAGACTTATAAATCAATTTGCAACAAACAATCACAACGTTCTAAATAGACGTCCCAGTTTTTACTTTCCGCCTTCTTAATACTCCGCTTCTAATAGCCATGACAAAACTCAAAAGGCCACGCAGACTCTAATCAACCATAAACAAAACATTAGTTTGAAAATGACCTTCCGGCCTACAAAAGGCTTCGAGAAGATAAGATCTTCGTAGACGCATTCCACGCCTATCAATAACTCCACAGAGTCAAGATCGCGGCGATTGATGCCATCGTAGAAATCCCTAATCACCTCAGAAGCAGTAGGCAATCCCAAAGAAGCAGCCGTGGAAACATTAGACTCCGAAGTTGCTTTGCTTTGAGAAACCCCACAAAGCCATCGTGGGAACTGAGACCGGTGGAGTCCGCCACAGATCACGGGACTTGAATTTGAGCAGAAAACAAAGGACAACAATGTTGAAAAAGAAGAAATCGACTTTGGATTTTCCAAAACCCTAATTCCTCGGAAGGGTGGGCAGTGAGGCCGCGAGCGGAAATCGAATTGAAGGTGATGGGAGCTCGTCATCATCGTCATCCCCTTCTCCCCGCCGTCATCGGAGATATCCTACCGTTCAGATGAAATAATTGCCGGGGGATTCCAAAGCTTTAGGAGGTGTCCGGACTTAAAAGTAACGGTTAACTAATCAGCTCATAATTTAGGTGCAAGATAACTATTATAAATTTTTTATTTTTTTGAAAAAGTTAGACCGTTGTCAATAAGCTCTCAGATATGTGCGGTGTGAAAACATTATTTTTTGCAAGCTGCCAAAACACAGTTTACCCAAACAGATCAGGTGTATTTTCAAAACGCCACTGCACCAAATAAGTTGTCACAAACATGCCCTCAATCTACAAAACATCATAAATATGTTAGATCAACATATTGATAAGTTAAATTCAATTTTTTTAGTTAATTTTATTAAATTCACTTATTAATTGGATTTAATGAATTTAATTTGAGTAATAAATATTTCAAAAAGATTTATCCCAAATACATCAAATTGATTTAATTGGATCTAATCTTATTTCGAATTTAATGATAATTAGTTTGATAAATTCAAATTTACTGGATTTACTAAATTCTATTTAACTTAAATCTGACTTGTGGCCAAGCACCCCCTAAGTGTGGTTGGCTACATAAATTTTTTTTCACTATTAGTTCTATTAAGTGTCATATTTTCATTTAATATAATACATTAATACCTTTTTTATACAATATGTTGAAGTCTTTTAGGCCTACCTCTCTCTTTATTAACATAAGTCAAATCTAAAATATTTACTCTTCTAATCGAATCATCAGATGGTCGACATTTTATGTGACCAATCCATTTAAGATGACTCTCTCTAATCTTTTCTGCCACTAAAGCTACACCAACTATATCACAGACATATTCATTTTATTAAACTATAATTGGCGTATAATAATCAATCAACATTTTCCTTAAAATTTACTAAAATAATTAAAAATAATTTATGTTCAATTAGATTAAATTGAAAAAAGGATATCTTATAAAATAATATCTTCATTAATCAAATTTGTTCATAAATATCCAAAATTTTAAGTTACTATTTTGAATGAACTAATCTTAATCAATAAAAATAGTTGAAGATTAGGGGTGTAAATGAGTTTCTGCTTTTGCTTGATTAATTAATTGAGTTCGAGCTCAAGCATGAACTTTATTCTACAAGTTTGACCTGGCTCACGAGTAGATCTGATAATTATAAGAGAAAGAAAATAGTATTAATTAAAACTTGTGTTATAATAATATAACAACTATAATGAATTGTTAAGAGATAAAAAATAAAAATTCATTTGATATAAATGTAAAATATAATTTTTTAAATTAATAAATTTAGAATAAATTCTTGAATTTTATTATATTTTAAATATATTTTATTTTAATTTTTATTTAAAGAGCCAACTCGCGAGATAACTAGTTAAGTTAGGGCTAGCTTGAGTTTGGCTTAGCAGTATATCGAGCTCAGTTCACGAGCCACTTAGGCAGAGATTGGAATTGTTTTGTGGGGGTTATTGAAATGTTATTGAAAGGTTATTGTGATATTATTGGAGACTTATTGGAGTTATTTTTTTAGGGTTATTGAAGTGGAACCGCGAAGGTTATTGGAGCGATTTACCGTGCGATATTGTTGGGGGGTTGCAGCGTTGTTGGAGTTAATGCTACAATAACCTCGAAATAACATCGAATTTGATATATTTGATCTGAATCATCAATTTCAAGAATATACTATGTTATTTAAACAAACTTCAATGATACTTCTAAGAAATCATTGATAAAATTACAAAACATATAAAAAACTTTCATTTATGTTTGAAAAAACTTAAATTTACACATATCATAGACTATTTTTGCTCAAAAATTGGGCATATCTTCCTGCCATCCTAATTTATCGCTCCAATCGTCACTATCTATTTATAGATCAGACAAAAAATTAACAAATGAATACATTTCTTGACTGCAAAAAAACTGCATATTAATTTCATGATTCCATATCAGAAACTTGAGTTTAAAGAGGCGCATAAGATATATATTATCGTTAACAAAATAGAAGTTGGCTACATTACTGGTTGCAGTTATTCCTTGAGTTAGATTGCAGCTCAACCACGATTGCGATATCATCAATTTAGGGCAATGGAAAACAATTGCCCGCGTAGTTTACAAGCTTGAAACAATTGATTATCCGGGTGATGTTTTCAACAATATCAGTCCTAATACTTATAAAATTGGTTCTCTTTTTATTTTATGATGAATTTTTTCTTCGTTCACTCTTTCTATTTTTACAAGCATGGAAACAAACAAAAAAAATTAAAGCTTCTTGAAGCTTAACTTGAAGAGGATCAAGCCTTAATTAATTACCAACCCAACAGAAGTAATGTTGAAGTTTTTTCAAATAACATAGCATATATTTTAAGTTGACGATTCGATGTTATTTCGGGATTATTGGTGTTTTATTTCGGTATTATTGGAGTATTAACTCCAATAGCGGCGTAATAATCCCACAATAACATCGCACGGTGAACCACTCTCATAACTTCCTTTTTCCACTTCAATAACTTTCGCAGAACAACTCCAATAAATCCCCAATAAGTCCCCGATAGGGCTGTAAATGAGTCGAGTCTGAGCGAGCTCAGGTTAGGCTCATGTTCGAAATAGCTCGTGAACAGTGTGCTCGTGTTCGACTCTAAATTGGCTAGTTAGAATATAAAATAATTATATTAATTATTATTTTAAGAAAATTAATTAATAATTTTATATAAAAATTTTTCAAGAGCAAATTCTATACAATAGTTCAGGGCATGTATTATCTAAAAAAAATTGATTGGCTAAAAAAATTTTACAAGAGCAAACTAAATAGAAAATTTGGCACAATAGAAATATTAATATTATTTTCAAAAAAATTACAAAATAAGAAGCAATTTGTTACAAATTTTATATTTTATAAACTAAAAATGAGGAAAAAAATATAAATAAAATCTCAAATAAAAATTAAATTTTAAAAAAACAATTGTATTAAAGATTTCAAAAAAAATTTACATTTGATGCATATTTTATGCTTTACATAAACCAAAAAAAAAATTAAAAAATGCATTGAATTTAAACTACAACTTTGAATTACTTCTCCGATTTTTATGATTAACGATCCAATGTTGATGGGGAGAAAACGGAGGAATGTTCAACATTGAATCTTAGAACCCATGACACAGAATAACATCTTTCATAAGTGAAAAAACAGAGGGCATAAAACAAGTTCCCACAAAACATAACACAAATTCAGCCGAGCTAAAACATAATATCCTGCCTGAATGAAATCCTACAGTAAGCATAAAGTTCTGCATAAAGTATAATTCAATCAACAAAACAGAAAATTCAGCATGTCCAAAGCTCTACTAGAAGAAGTGTCAAGTGTTAGCATCTAGTTAGACACATATGTTTGAACCTTCTATCAATCTACTCGGGCAAAGTCACTTGAAGTTGTTTCTTTTCCATTAATTCTTGCTGACACATAAGATGTATAAAAAAATAAGTGATAAGAACATAAAATGAAAAAGTTAACATGCGCTAAAACTAATTGTTGAGAGAAATTACCAAAGGAGTTTTAAAACTACTTGTGGAAGATCTAATTCAGCTAGAAGAACATATTAATGCATTCACCATATTTGCCGAGAGTGAATTTCTATAATCATTAAGAACTCTTCCACTGATATTAAATGTTGATTCCGAAGCAACTGTTATTATTGGAATTAATGGTATATCTTTAGTCATTTTGGACAATGAATGATACTTGAGAGTGTTCAACTTCCACTACTCAAGAATATCAAAATTTTCATTATTGTGGGCCAAATAGAGTTCCTCCTCTAAATATACATGTAGATATAATTTTGATGGTTGAATAAAACCAGATGAAACAAAAAAATTAGTAAATGCGGGCATGCAATAAAAAATTTCTCGATTAACATTATCACTGGACAACTTTGATGAAATATTGTTATTTGTAGAACTGAAACTAGCAATACCGCTTGCATAAGTATTGTAAATTTCTCATAAAACATCTTCGACTTGTTAAATTTTAGAGTCCAATTCAACAGATATATACATACTAGCAAAACTAAATTGTATAAACTTTATTTTCAAGCGAGGATCTAAAACACTGCGATGAACATTAAGAGATTACATTCACCCCAATATTTATCAAATTTATCTCTCATTGCAAAAGCCATGTTTCTGTTAAACTCATTAGAAGAAGAGGACTTATCTAGCAATAGTTTATTTATATGCATCACAACGGGTAAAAAAATATTTGAGGTGGGGTAGGAATAACTTGAAATCATTGTTGTCACATTATTAAAAACAACAATAAATTTTATGATTTTATCATATCTATCTCAATCTGAATCTGAAGGCAACAAACTGAAATTATTATCTCGATCTGCAAAGTGAGTGAACATATTACAAAAAATAAGAGCAGATTCAAGCATTAAAAATGTTGAGTTTCATAGTGTTGGAACATCAATGCACAAACCCTTTGTTGTTGATATCCCTAATTGTTTGACTATGTCACTGAACTTATGCAACCTTGTCCGCGACTTTTTTATATATTTGATAGTCTCTCTCATATTATAAATGATGTCTTGAATCCCTTTTAAGCCAACTTGCACCATAATATTTAAAATATGTGCATAACAACGAACATGAAAAAAATGCCCCTTAAAATGCAGTTTCTCTCGTGTCCTAAAATTTGAATGAAGCAAACTAGCAACAACATCATTATCACAATTGTTGTCTAAAGAAATAGTTGATATTTTGTCTTGTATCTTCCAATCCAACAAACAATGAGAAATGACATCACAAATGAATGTACCGGCATGAGGTGAATCCAATTCAATGAAATTAATCATCGTTTTTTAATCTTCCACAATTGATCAATATGGTGAGCAGTTAGACACATATTCTATTGTTTGATTTGAAGCCCCACAATCAAATGTTAATGAAAACCCGTGAATATTCCTAAATTATTATTTTTACTTCTCTTTCTCAAACTCAAAAATTTTCATACAATCATTTTTTATTGTATTCCTTAAAACATTCTCATAATTAGGATTCAAGGATTTTAATAGAATATTAAACAATGTATGTTCAATAATACTAAACGGACACTCATGCAATATAATCATTTTGAAAATTATCTCTATAACCTTATGTTAATCGAAGTTTTTTTTATCATGAAATACTGAGATCTCAGTGTCTGCATCAACATCAAGTGACATCACTTATTTATTTTCGAGCCAATTCGAGCCGAACAAGAGCGAACAAACTTTGGTTCGTGTTCGGCTCATTTACATTTCGAGCTTAAAAATTTGTTCGTGTTCGGCTCATTAGGCTTAACGAACGAGTTGAACGTAAGCTACTTAACGAGCCGAACATGAGCTATTCACGAACAACGAGCCAAATTGATAGCCCTAGTCCCCAATAACCATTCCATAATACTTTAATAAACCCATAAACAATTCCAATAATCGCTTCAATAAAACTACATGAACACCTTGATAATACTCACCATGAACAATTTCAAAAACCTCCAAGATTTCACTTTGAAAAGGTTCGAGCTGGATAAGTTGTAAATAAATTTATTTTTTAATATTTTATCCCTGCACAAAACTGTGCGCTCCTCGCGGAAATATTTTCCTCGAGCACACATTTCTATTTTTTTCACGGTCAAACAGGCAAGGGCTTATCACGAGGCGCAACACGTCTATACAGATCCGTCGCCTTTTCCTACGCTTAGAGAGCAGGTAAGTCGCGGCCGAAGCGAGTACGGACGGCGCTGAAGGGAACAGCGGCGAGCAGTGTGCGAAGGAGAAGGAATATTCTTAAACGAGGGTAACTTTCTTTTCCCCCTACGCTCCTTCGCGCTCTTCAATATCTCTACTAGACTAAATCCCATAAATGATCCTATCAATCGGATTTGCTGAATCTGGGTCCTAAGGCAGAACGGAGGAGAAACGGGATTTAAGATTCTGTAGGATTCAAAGTTGTCCTGCCCAAATCCCGCTCAAACCCGCTACCATAGCGTGGACATAAATTTAGGAAATTTTACGGAATGTTTCTTCAAATGATTTTGTGTTTTCCCCCTCCAATAACATTAGTAATAATATTATATACATCTAATTTTCATTGTAAAATATTTCGCTAACTAGAAGTATATATACGAGATGCAGTTCTAATGTCTGAAGGTTTCATGAACTTTTTTCACCTTACATAGTGAATTCTATGGAGAGGAAGTAATTTAAACTAGTGTTTTAGCTCTATATGTTCTTACTACCGCCTTGTTAAAGAAATGATGACAATTTTTTGGTTAAAACTTAGTATAACATCTCAGGAAGTATTGTTAAGGAGTTTAAATTTGTTTATGAGAGAAAATAGAAGTATTTGGAATTTAATTTGCTTTAGTTTTTCTTCGGGAGTTAAAATGTCTATCTTCCACTTTGAGTGAACCTTTTATTTAATTTTTCAGGCTCTGCTATAATGCATACGATCAAAATTCTGGAAAGTGGAGTAATGTTAACTAAAAGGTCATTTCAAATTATAATTTGTGCAGTCTCTCATGCTGAATTTTCGTATTGTATTTCAATACTCAATGTAAATTAGGATTTCAATCATGTTTAGTATTGTCTTTAGACATCCTTGCATTCAATGGGTTCAAAATGCATCAATAGCCAGGTAGATGAAATTAAGGTAAAGGGATTTGGAAGGTAAATGATAAAATTAATATGGATAGAAATTGCTCAGGATGATTTATATGTAATAGTTAACACCTCATGCCACAGTAAATGGTAATGTATAGAAAATGCGGATTAATAAAGCCAACCCCAAATGAATGTTATAGACTAATGACTATAATGGTGATGGAGATAAAGATAGTTTTGGATCTTTTACAATAGCAATGCTTCTTTATTTGTTTATGACATGTCATCTAGTATGTGCAACCTCGCAGAGACATTAAGCTAATGTAACCGTCGATTTATGCTTATATTTACTCATCGTGTTTGTTGCTTTAATCTCTTTGTCTATAACTTCATTTTTAGTTTATGTAAGTGTCAGATTCCCAGCTCAATAGTGGTTTTCTTCTTATTTTCTTACAATTAATTGCATATTTTGTGTGCCAATTATTTGTTTTAAGATAGGTTATAAAGACCTTCACAAAATGGGATTTTATATGGTTCACTTTCATTAAACTATCATCTGAGTATATGTTGTAGGATGCTTCAAGGGATTTTGATATAATTTGGATAAGACTAATAATGATGATTTGGAGGAATAACTTCAAATTTTAAGGGCTCTTTTTTATGAAATTTCTATTAACTTTTTTAATCTCTAGGGATAGGAAGCTATCTTACACTAATTATTATAAGCTTGGATTTGTGCTCATATTTACTTGTCATTTTAACTTTTATTTAAGTTTCTATAATTGTTCGATATATGTCATAATGCCATGTTATTGGTAGTATTCTTGTTGCTTTATTGCAAATTATTACATATTATTACATAATATGAAGTCTTATGGACAACCAATCTTTTTTTATTTAGAAGAGGGTAGAGGAAAGGAAGCAAACTGGCTTTTTAAGTTGTTTATTTTCTCATATAAAATATTTGTGAAGTATCATCTGAAAATATGATGTAAGATGTTCAGCTAGGATTATCTTAAATAGTTGGGATAAAGCTAGTGATGATAATAGTGATAAGTATAAAATACGTTTGAGAAAAATCTTCATAATGACAAGGCTTCTTTTATGGCATTTTAGCTTATTCAACCTTGCCAAGATAGTTAAATTACTTGTACTATTTTCAAGCTTGGATATGGTCTTATATTTACCTGTCAAGTCAATTATTTTATTCTTTTTTATTTGCCAACCAACTTCATTACTAATAAATTCAATGAAAATAATAAGGGACAAGAAAAAAGTTAATCATGAAATAATTTAAATATTTTAGTAGTATTCAATTTTTCTTGAACTTCATCAATTGGATGACATATGATATTAATTTCTTGGATGGGAAAACTGAGTAAGAGTGATGTCATCTCTTTAGAAGGCCAATGGAGTTAAAATTCACTTCTACCATTTCATTAGAGAAATCAACTACAAAATATTGACAAGCGAATTATAAAAATTTGTAAAAAAAGGTTTCAAAGACTATAATTAGCTTTCTTGATAACCATTTTTATTATGTATGATAAAGTTCATTTGAAAACTAGTATTTAATGTGTGCAATGGCGCAACACATTAATACGACAAGATCATAGAATATATGCTTATGGAATTCACCAACTACTTGAATAATGATTTGATGAACCAATAAAAAGGCTCTGAACAAATTCTGTCAGTTGCTTTAAAGCTTTTAGATTCAATCTTTGTTCCACTTTTAAATTAAAATCAATTTTCTTTCAAACTCAGATTCCTCTATAAAACTATCTACAGACTTGTAAATATTAATTGATTGTTCTATATCTAAGTTGAAATTATCATTATAATAAAAAAGCTCATTACCCTCAAATTTTTCTATATCTCAATCGTTAAAATTTGGAAAGTCATTAAGGTGTTGCATAATAGGCATAATTATGAGGGCATTTGAAGGCTTTATGAACTTTCCCTTGACAACTATAAGAGTCGGCCTCATCAGTAATTTGTGGTTTTTTTTAGCATTAGGATTGTTTGGAGGACATGTGTCTGTAGAATGAATTGGGGGATGAGCTCATTTTCGCATCCTGAGTCTATCACGACCAGTTGGCTTTTTTTATTTGATATCTTAAAAATTATACAATTTTTATACTATTTATCATACTCTTAAAGTACCATGATAAGATTTAAATAGGTCTTTAATAAATTTTGATGTGCTTATTGGTTCAGCTCTTTCAAAGAATTAGCTATTTTAAATGACCCATTTAAGCCCACTAATCCATTTATTTAAGTCGAATAAATCCCACTATAAGCCAATCCTGTGGTCAATGGGCTAGCCCTATTTAATTTTTAGTTCGATTATAAAAAAATATCAAATTCAATGTACGCCGTATGATAACTACTTATAATTTTCTAGTAAACAGATGTTACTAGAAAATAATCAAATTTGTTTAGAAAATAATGAATTGAGGGAGTAAACATAGAGATAGTGGGAAGAATAAAAATAAATATTATGTATAGAAATGGCTAGTAGATATTCCTTAAAATTGATTTGACTTAAAAAAGAAAAGAAAAGAATTATTAGACTTCTTGAATTATTAAGAAGCTTTATTTCCTAGCCTAAACCAACCCTGATATAGACTTATCTTTATGTGGTATCAGCCCAGCCAAACCTAGATGGTTAGGGCCAGGGAGAGTATTTCAATTAATTGATTGGGCTGGAATAGGGCAGTTTGCCAGTTCTATTTAACCTGGAACAACCCGCACCCTCTCTATAATTGAATGATATTTCTGGTATTTTCATTACAATGAAGTCTCCATTTTCCAAATCTTATTCATTCCCCACAGTTCTATTAAGCTCATTCCCAGACCTTATCGTATTTATTATTGTAGGGCTCAAGATTCTTTATTCCTTCCTCCCATGTGCTATTACAAGGCTTTTTTTCCATTTTATATTTTTTTTTAGGAATATTTACATACACACCATTCAATTTCTATGCATTTACATATCTAACACCTAAAGTTTAATTTTTACATATATGACATCTTCCCTATGCATGAAAAGGTCAATTTCACTTTTTGAAAGTCAAAATAGTGGTATTTTTGATGTGGTATGAAAGATTTGGGTGGTATAAATGTAATAAGTAAAGTTTAGATGTTAGAGATGCAAATACATTGACTTAGGTGGTATGTCTGTAAATGCTTCAGTTTTTTATCGATTTATTGCTTTTGTTATGGAATAGAAGAGACTAGGCTTGATCTTGAGATAGGGCTTTAACCAAGCAAAGCATTTCTGTTCCATTGTATCATTACAATATTTTTGGATCTCTTTGTTTTTCAGCTTTTTGGGTTACTGATTTTTAATGTGTATATGTGAAATGAACTATCCTTTTTAGATTTATATCTTATTTTGCTGGTTGATGACCATGGTTTCAGAATAGATGGCGTTGCGGGGTGTTTGGCAGCTTCAGAAACTGATAGTGAGCTATTGTGACTGGGGTGGAAGTAGCAGGGGAATCAGGTATGTATCTGACATCATTTTTGAGGCAATTTGATTATGCAAATACCGTTTCGTTGTCTATATGGTTGATATTTTTTTTAAGATTTACTGTCAGGAAGATAGCATCTAGCTTGGCTATTAAAAAAAATTGTTAAACTTCCATTTTTAATGCTCCAAGTTTGTTTTTTAAGTGTTAAAAATCATTGATTTCTCATGCATCTTCCACATTGTTTGCCCTAACTTGCAAATATGATCTCGTTTGGTTTCTTGTAGATAGAAAACATGATGAAGAAAATGTTGGTTTCATTTGCGCTCATTTTGCATGCGAAATTGAAATCATTACATATGAGAAGGTTTGAGAGGTTAGTGCCAATATTGATTTCTAACTGCATTTATCAAACTAATTAATTTTACTAATTGCATTATTTTTTTTAGGAAGATTCACATACATAACACTCAATTCCTGTGTGTTTACATTGAGAGCAAAAAATACCGAGAGAATTATCAGAGTAGTATCGTAATATTTTTGCTTACTTACAGAAACCATACATCATTTACAGAAACCATACATCATAAATGATAATTTTCTTGGTATATGGGTTGTAACACCGATATCCTTTATGGGTGGATGAGTAACCAATAAAGATGCACTGTATGGAGTTAGGTGCTAGCTCATTAGGTGATTGAGGCTTGGACCAGGGTTAACAGGTGCAACCATAAACTTTGAGATGAGAGTAGGAGGGAGGAGTACCATGTATGTGTTGGTAAGGGGAAATATGGCCAGTGACTTTGGTGGGCATTCTGTTGATGAGGTAGGCAACAATGAAAAGAGCATCAGCCCAAAATGTATAAGATAGATGGGCATCATGAAGTAGAGTGCGAGTAGTTTCAATAAGGTGTCTATATTTAAGTTCCACCACCCCATTTTGTTTCGGAGTATATGGGCAACAAAATTGATGAATCGTTCGATTTGAAGTGAGATAGTCATGTAGGGACCCATATATCGGAATGAAGAAGTTCTACTTCTTGTATCTATGCGGTGAACTAGAACTAAACAACTGCTTATGTGACTTTATAAGTCGTCATGTATTACATACAGTTAAAGAAGGAAAAATATGCAAATGCTGTGTTTTGGAGATGGTGCTGATGATGGCTCGATGTGAATGCCCCAAGCGTTTGTGCCAAATATCAGAAGTGGCTGATTTATGAAGAGTGATGGAAAGAACTGGATTGAAGTAAAGCCCATGGGAGCTAGGGCCTTGGAGTAGAACTCGATTAGTCTATGGATCAATGATAGAAAAATCAGAGGGATGAAAAGAGACAATGAGTTTGTTATATGTGATTATTTTATGGATTGAAAGGTGGTTATGAGATAAAGAAGATAAGTAGCCGATATGTTGTAATTGAAGCTTATGGTGTGGAGCGGGAAGGAGGCCGTCACTCGTCTGTTGAACAGGAACCAATTGGCTGTTGCCCATGACTATGCGCTTGCGTGTGGTGAGTGGTTTTAGCTCCTAAAGTTGGTTGGTGTCGGAAGTCAAATGTGTAGTAGCTCTAGAATCTAAAACCCAACCATGAAGTTGTGCTGTGAGAACTTAAGGCGACTGTGGTGGTACATAGTCAAATTGGTCCTATGCCAGCAAGTTGAAGCAGAGCGTCTGACTTTGTGACAAATTTGGCGTACAGTAGTCGATCACGGTGTAGAGCGACCTCCTCTCCTACCTCCTCTTGAGTTGCGACCGCGACCCCTATAGTTGAAGTTGGATCGGTTCTTGGAAGCAAATAGTGCAATGTTTGGATCAGTTGGAGTCACTGCACGATAATGAGTAGAAATCGTCCAAGTGAATGGGTTGGAGTTGGGTGCGAATGGAGGTTTTGGAGGATTGGTAGGAAATTGGTAGTCCATTTAGGGTATATAGGATAACATCCTTTGGATCGAGGTGAGCTCCAGCTATTGAGATACTATCTATTGTAGTTTTTATTTCTGAGAGGTACTACGCCATCGTAGATCTCATGGGTGATGAAGTTCATTCTTCAACTAATTACCCTGAAGCAGTTTGCAGGTTGGAGGCGTTGTCCAAGAGTCTGCCATAACTCAGCTACTGTGCGAAGTTGAAGGACATAAAGTAGGATTGACGTTGAAATTGTGGAGAACAGGGCTGCCGAGAGGTTTTGATCAGTGTATGTCCATGCTGTGAACTGAGGATTTGGGGCGTTAGGATTGTTCAGTTCAGCAATGGATTGCGGTGGACACACGTGAGAGCCATCCAGGAAGCCAAGGAATCTGTTAGCAGTGAAAATTCACAATATCTGCGCTCGCCATATGGGATAGTTGTCGGATGTTAGTTGTTTTTGAGCTAGAAGCTTGTTGTGGGACAGTAGAAATTTGAGGGAGGGTGATCCATTGATGGCTAGATGCTGGGAAGAGAGTAGATTGAAGGTCTCTGAGTCTTCCATGAATTGGACTCACAGAGGGGTAGATCTGATGTAACTTACACAAAAGGGGTTAGAGAACCCTAGCAGACTTTAGTAGAGGTCGCTTAGGAGTAGATGGTTAAGGAGCGAGAGGCTTCCCTAGTATTTGCAACACGATCGTCCCTTTTCAGGCCGGAAGCCCGCTCTGATACCATGAGAGCAAAATAGATATAGAGAGAATTATCAGAGTAGAATCGTAATACTTTTTCTTACACCCTCACAGAAACCATACATCATAAATTTTATATTATAATAGGTAAAAATGAAATATAAATGAGTTGTAAATGCAAATGAAATAGAGACCACTCCCTTGTCCGTTGTTGTCGTAGCAAATTTATGGAGAATGTGGAGCGTTTGTATGGAGACAATTATTATACATATTTGACCCCTACAAGTTCATTTTTTACATATATGCCACCTTACATATACATGAAAGTTGTATTTCACTTTTTAAAAGTTAAAATGATGGTATTTTTTATGTGATATGAAAGATTTAGGTGGTAGAAATGTAAAAAGCAAAAAATAGCTGTTAGATATGTAAATACATAGGAATTGGGTGACATTTTTTTATGTAAGGTTAAAATGGTGGCTTTTTTTTATTTTTGATATCAACAACTCAATATCTGTATATACCATAAAGCCATAACACCTATTTCCATAAAATAGATATGGAGTTGTTGATTAAACTATATTGTTGCTTCCAGTTTAGATTTATTATTGGAGTATTGTTTATATTGTTTAAAGGTATTTCCAGAAAATAGCTATTAATAGATTGTAATTAAAAAAAGGTTAATGATATTTTGAAACACCCCTTGGTTACAAGTAATTATTTGAAATTTGAGTAATTTAGTTTATAAATAGGGCTGTGTAGACAATGATACAAATTAATTTTGGTTGATATATAATGGTGAAGATTTTGCCTAAGTAAAAAAATATTGAACATCTTCAAGTGGTCATCACTTCTTGGTTAAATTCATGATGAAAAGTAGATCTATATATACCATAAGATCTTATGAATCCTCATAGGATGCAAATTTATTTCTATTGAAATATGCAGACTTAGTTGTTATGTATTTACATATCTCACACCTAAACTTTCTTATTTACATATATAGCATTTTCTAACACTGCATAAAAAGGTGTATTTAACTTTAAAGAATGGTAATAGTCTTACTTTTTATGTGATATTAAAGATTTGAGTGATATGTGAGTAAATGTGGAAGTTTAGATGTGAGATGTAAGATGAGAATTGTGTGTATATAAATGCCCCTTCTTCTAATACTGTTGTCCTGAAAAACTATGAAAAAAAAGGCGTTCCCCAGTTTTCTTTCTACCTATATATAAGATGGCTTGCATCTTTTGGGCCTGTAACTATTTCATCTAGTTTTTAGATTGAATCAGTTATAATTTTTGTTTCTTTTTTTAACTTAGACTCATCTTAGTCGAACAAAAGCAATTCCAAGGAACACCTATCAATCATGGTATAAGAGAAGCCAAAAAACACACACCAATGCATTCTTGAATGCATAAATTTTCTATTTTAAAGGAAGATTTACATACATACCACTCAATTCTTGTGTATTGACATATCGTACACCTAAACCTCTATGCAAGAAAATTTGTATTTCACTTTTTAAATTTAAAATGATAGCATTTTTTATGTGATATGAAAGCTTTGAGTGGTATAAATATAAAACGTCAAGTTTAGGCACATAAATATATAGGAATTGGGTGGTATGTATGTAAATGGCCCTAAGTAAAAATATGGCAAAGAGGCATCTTATAATGCATTGCTCGAAGTTCTTTACTTTTATGGGACTACTATTTTTAATAAATTAGTTTTTAAAGAATGCACCAATGGAATGACAGGGCATTCATGGAAACTCATTTGCCATTCTTGAAGGAAAAAAATCCTCAGCTGGAGGTTGTTACAGAACTAATTCGCGGCCAACATCCTCATTTGAAGGGGCACTTCAGTAAGTCTTATTTTTCTCTGTTGTATTTGCAACATAAATAAGATTTTGTTTATTGAACCGGAGCAACATGATAAATGCATGTCTTGATTATTTTCTTTGAGTTTTTATTATTTTTATATTTTTTGTAATTTAGTGCAAGTTAAACATTTGAAATGTGAGACTCTGAGTTCTAATATCTTATTATTTCGTGTGGGAATGAGTCTAGCTATTTAGATGATTTTCTGAACAAAGTTAGGAAATCCCTTTCCCAAATGTGTGAGTAGATCTAACATGAACACATCATGAAACATAAGAGACGTATAATTGCATAATTTATATAGTTCTACATGTAATATTTGTGAGAGAAGTTAGTTGTTCTTATGTTGCTTTTGCTGTACAAGATATTTTGAAAATGTAAAACAGAAAAATTAAAGTGAATCCAAATAGGTTTTATTTACATTGTTTTTTTTTCTTATAGTATATAATATAATTATTATTTCTATAAATAATATTTAACAAAATTTAAAATTTAAAATGCTAAATTGGGACAAAATGTTTCATACTCATTATTTCCTTAACATTTAACAGTTTTAGATTTATAAAAAAAAAGGCAAACTCAAGATTTAAAAAATAATTTTAAATTAACATTTTCATCATCTCTGACACATGATCGGGAGCTTCCCGCACATTTTTGTGATCCCTGCTACAGTATCACGAACTGTAGTTGGAGTCATAGCTTGGACCAGTTCAAGAGTGCTGAGCCCTTCACGTGGATTTTCGATATGATTAGGAATGAAAAACAAAGAATGAACAAACAATGAATAAATTGCGATAGACATGTGGAAGAACTTAATTGATGGCTAATTTTACTAATACCAACGAAAGCAAACGAGATACAATGTTCGTTCGAGAGGTAGACCATCTCTTGTTAAATTCTAGACACCTCTAGGAACACATGAGAAGAGAAAAACTGCAACAAATCAAAACATAAAAACAAACCTTAGCTAATTAGCTCTAATAAATACTCCCCAAGATCCTTTCAAACTTTCCCCCAGTTCCCCCTTTTGTACATGATTAGCGGTTGTGCGGGCCCCAACCTAGCGTTGGAACTGTCCGCAACTTCTCCTAGGGATTCCACCTCTCTAGGCTAGACCAGTTGGCTTGGCCAGGCAACCGAGTGGTCTGCTTGGGTTTGGCCAGTCTAGACTAGTTCGTCATCTGCAGGTTGGCTCTCTCGTCGGTTGGGCTGAAGCATATCAACACTCTCGTTTCAAAGAAGCAACTTGTTCTCAAGATGGAAGGATGAAACTGCTTTTTGATCCCTTTCGTAAGCCTCCAAGATTGTTTCATAATTTGGCAGATCTTTCCACTTAATCAGTACCCCATTTGTTCCAACCACTCCTCGACACACTCCTTTGACCTCATGTTCTCTGAAAGCATCAGAGGTATTGAAAATGAGAGTGCATGGTCTTTAGTGGCACGCCTTAGTTGCGAAACATGACAAACTGGATAGAGTGCTGATGATAGTGGTAACCTCAACTGGTAGACTTCCCCAATGTGCGTCATAATCTCATAAGGTTCAAAATATTATGGAGAAAGTTTCTCGCTCCACCTGACAAATGTCTTCTGCTGGTAGGGTCTTGGTTTCAAGTTGACCATATTCACGGTTTTGAATTGTATCTCTATTATATGTTTCTTTTCTGATGCGAATGGTCTGAGACGGAAGGATTCGAACCTCCAAGTAACGGGACCAAAATTTGTTGCCTTAATGCTTGGCCACGCCCTTCCTCTTCATGATCTATTGTGCTCTCAGTAGATGCCCCTTGAGTCTTGTCAATATTTTGTTCTTCTCCTCTAAGTTTCGACACTGGTTACCGGTGTAGTGCTACGTCCATAATGTATCAGGTGAGGTGGATCTCGCCCACTATATTTGGAAATAGGTGGCTTGTGCCGCAATATGGTACGAAGTATTATATTAAAATTCGGCCTCCGCAATCCACCTGGCCCAATGCTCCGATATAAAATAACACAGGTATGTCTCCTCTCTTATGTTGACCACTTATGTTTGACAATCGGTCTGAGAATGATATGATGTGCTTTTTTTAAGCACTGTTCTTTGTAACCTAAACAACTCCTAGAATTCATTGAGGAACTCCTTGTCACTGTCTGATATAATAGATCTCAACACTCCGTGCAAAACATATCACTTCCTGTATAAACATCGTAACGATTGAAACCGCATTATAGGGGTGTCGTAATGGAATGAAGTGTGCATTCTTGCTGATGTGATCAACTACCACTAGGATCACCGTTAATCCTTATGATCGGGGCAACCCCTTTATAAAATTCATCATCACTTCTTCCCAAACTTTTTCTAACAAAGCTAAGAACTGTAGTAACCTTCATGGCGCCATGGTCAAGTATTTATATAGTTGACATACATCATACCTTGCCACCATGTCCTTTACATCTCTGCGCATCTCCACCTAATAAATCTCTGTCAATAGACGATTATATGTTTTCTGTACCCCTGAGTGTCCACCAATTGCCTCGTTATGAAATTCTTCCAATAGTATACTCAGATGCCCTTGACAATACGAACCGCCCCTGGTAGAGTAGTTGTGTCCCGTCAATGCGTATTATGGATGACTGTACAGATAATGTAACAACTCTACCTGTATTTTCCTTGGCCCTTCATCTTGCTGGCTCTCTCGGCTTAGGTTTTCCCACTCTAGGACCAAGGGTACCGAAAATGTGGCAGCTCGGTGTTCTACCTCTCTAGACAGCGCATCCATGGCTTTATTCTCCATTCCTATTCGATACCGACTCTTGAAATTATATCCCAACAACATGGATAACAACCTCTGATGCGTCTTTGTTACCATCCTCAAGGATAGACATCTCCCCTCAGCACCACCTTCATACCCTCTACCTTGAACTCTATCATCAAGATTTCCAATCCATTTTCGTCTCCCTAAGTGTTTGCAGCTATTTCATTCCCAAAATCACAGTAGTGTTGCCCAAGTCCAAGGGAAGGAAGTCCTCTACCACCTATAAGGCGTGTAGTTTCAGAGCTATTTCCTTGCAAATTCCCTAACTTTTCTCCATCTTCTCTGTCCCCATCATGACAACAAAGCTCCTCGTATCTACTAGCCCCAACACTGGCTATTCCATGACTTGATTTGATATGAAACTGTGTGGTCCCACATTTACCAACATTACAATCGACCGCGCCCCGATTCTTCCCTCCACTTTCATAGTGTGATTCAGAGCACTCCACCACTGAATTGAGGGACGCATCCTCTGTATTCAAGTGCAAATGCTCCTCCTCCTTCACCGTGTCTTCCTCCGACTCCTCACTATATGTTTCCTTCTCATGAACTAAAATGACCTCAAGCGCGTGCTCCTTGCAACGGTAGCCTGGGCATAGTTCTTGTCACATTGGAAACATAATCTTTTCGCACATTTATCTTGCACTTCTGGATTGGTGAAGTGCCTGAAACTGCCCTTGGGATGACTTCCCGCATTCTTCCCCTTTGGCGTCTCCTTATGAAACAACACCATCTTGGTCCTCGTGTCATTGCCGTATAATCACTCTTGTAGAACCCTCTTGTGGTGCTGCCTTTGCTATTCTTTTCACCCGTTTCTTATCTTCCATCTTTTGGGTGAGCTCCATCATCTCCCTCAATCCCCGCTGTCTCAATGGTTAGAGAGTTGCTCTCAACTGCCCTGACAAGAGCTCGAACCTCTCCCTATATTATGTGACCGTTTCTTCTTGAGTCAAAACATAGAATTGCTCATGTAGGTCTCATTTTTGTAAACTTTTCAATAAGCAAAAACTTCTTCCACGAATGGATCGGATATCTGGCCTCCATCCACTTAAACTATGCTAGGCCGTTGCTTTCCAAACATAACTCTGCCGCCATGAGTTCCTCTTTCCCAGTTAACCCATTTATTGTAAAGTAACACTCCACACCTACCCATGTGAATCTTCTCCTTCGAAGATCGTTATCATCAGTTTTCTTACCCTCGCATTGCCATTCTAAATTCCTCTCTCTTCGATGTTTCTCCTCATGTGTTTATGATAAAAGTCCCTCTTTCGGTCATAGCCATACCTCATTTCTGCTTCTCTCCTTCCTTCTTTGTGCTCCTCCATGCCCCTTGCACCACCCCTCCTATTCAACCCACCCCCCTTCGTCGAAAATTTCCACTCCCACAGGGGAAGCTCTTAGGTAGTAGATGCTTTCCTCCTCGTTGTCCTCTAGTTTGATTTCCTTCCCTTTCGATTTGGCTAAGGATTCTCTAATTAACCCTTAGTTAGAGTTTGCAATTTGTGTCGTTGGCGGGGCCTTGAATTGCATTTTCAGGAGCCTCTTCATTATTTCCTCGATGTTCCCAATTCGGTCCTCCATCTGGTTCTCTCTGGGAAAAAAAAAACTATTCTCTATGGTGGCGAACTCTAGACGTTGTTAGGAACACCAAGAGAAAAGAAAGAATACAAGAATCAAAATATAAAACAAACTCCAACCAATTAACTCTAATAATTTCTCCTCAAGGTCCCTTCAAACTTTCCCCCAAAACATCCTCTTAATTCCAATCCTCATATATGTGATTAGCATTTGTGTGGGCCCCACATGGGCGCTGAAGTTGTCTATAGCATCTCTTAAATATTTCGCCTCCCTAGACTGGGCCGGTTAGCTTGACCAAGGCGTGGGCGGGACTGGCTGGGTCTGGCCAGTCTAGAGTGGTCCTCCTTGGATTGGTTTGTTGTCTGCAGGGTTGGCTCTCGCGTCGCTCTGTGCAGAAACAAGCGTATTAGTATCAATTTTCTTCTTATTTAGAGTGGAGTCCACTCCTATTTACCCTGAATTGATAAATATGCTATTTTCGTGTTTTAGGATAGGTTTTTGCTTGGTTTTCTGATAGGATAGCTGTCAACATTCTAGTTCTTCTCTTTTAGGGTTGTGTCTAAAGGCTAGAAGGTACTTCGGCTGTAATTCGTCTTCAGTGCTACAACCCTTGTTTCTCGCTGCAGTCGTTTAAGACAACCACATTGTCTTATTTCTTGGGTTCTCCCTTCTTCCAAAGGCCGTCATCCCCTCTCTTCACAGTAGGAACCACCAGAAAGCCCTCCTTGCTGCCTTTCTGGCCTTACCACCCCTCTAGCCAACCGTTCTCCCCTCCCCAACCAGTGACCCAGACGCTAAAGACTCCCCTCCATGCTGTTCTTGCTGTCCTTGCATGTTAGCACCTCCCCACCAATTGAACCCACCCCTTTTCCCTGCAGTCCAGCCACTCCATCGCTACACCATCTTCCCACCTACAAACCTTCACCACCTTATATCTTCCCAACTTGCTGCTCACGATCAACCTCCCGTACATCCTCTATAACCACCCGTCTTCCCCTTTGGATATGCAATTAGTTAAGTAGAGTATTGTGTATGGTACTGTTATTTCCCATATTGCGTGTTTGTTCTAATTGACTATTCCTCTTTTCAGTAATAATATTTATTTTCTATTATTGTTTGAGTTAACACGGGCATAATTTGATATCAGAACTAGTCCAATCGTAGTCCTATCATAAGGTTTCTAAGATCTGCCATACTCAAGCCTATCTCCACTCGTCCAATTTTTTCCCCACCCAACATCACCATTACACACCTCCTTGCACCTACCCACACCCAAAACTAATCATGCCTTCAAGGAGATGTGTTAGACGCCGGTCAATAGTTTACTATGGAAGAAATACAATAACAACTCTGCCAAGTGTGACGACTCAATGAAATTGAGGAAAGAAGACCATCCAGAGTTGTGACACAATTCTCATTCGATCCACGAGATGATGAAACACTATCTCGAAGATTTGACATGAAATATTGGAGAAGCCAAAAATTTAAATAAAATGTGAATTTGTCATATTTCAACGACACATGGATCCGGACAATGCCATCGAGTGGCTCTAAATATTAGAATGTGTTTTTGAGTGCTAGAACGTTCTATTGGACGAAATGGTGAAACTAGTAGCCAACAAGTTAAGGAAGAGTACATCTTAATGGTGGGCGAACTAGAAGGTTCTTCGGCAACGAGAAGAGAAGGGTAAAATTACTATATGGTTCAAGATGAAATGAGAGATGCAACACCAGTGCCTACTAGCTCACTCTAAACCAGATGTTCAACAACTTTAAAAGCAGAGAGACAAGATTGTCGGGCGACCACCATATCTTACAAGAAGTGTTCAACCCTAGGATCTTACAACCAAAGTACACCTATGGGAACATCCAAGCTGACCCTGCCAAAAGAGACACTAGTTCAGAGTGGGAAACATAGGGCACCAATCCACATTCCCAAATCCGTCCCAACTATGAAGTGTTTCAAGTGCCACAGATTTAGGTGTGTTGATAGGGATTGCACAACCAGAAGGATGATATATTTCACTGAGCAGGGAGTTGCTGAATAAAAAGACTGTGACACAATATAGACTAAAGATATGACACAAAGGGGAAGGATCATATTCCAACCGATGAGGGAGAAATACTCATACTTCATGCTAATGACATATGGAGACTCCAACAGAATTCACATTGGTGGTCCAAAATGGTCCTAAGTCCAAGGAACCAACACCAAACACCCGACAACCCCAAATAAGAAAAATTCAGACTTTTCATATAGATAGACTCCTTCCTGAGTTGCTCCTCGTTGAGGGAGGTTCGATATATTGGAGATGAGTCTCTTTTGTTCCACTTCTGGAAAACTAGATAGAATCAGTTGGGTATTTAAATCTGTTCGACAGTGTATCCCTGACTGATGATCATGTAGGATGGATGAACCACAACTTTGAAAGTTATTGTAGGAGCTTGGTGAGGAAGAAAATTCTTCAATGGAGGTCTAACCAGAGAATAAGAAGAGCCCTCTCTTGAGTGTTTGCTAGTGAGCATTGCTCAACCTGTCATAGAGTTCGTCTCAGAGTTAAATCCTTCTTACATACTTGTTTACCAGATTCATCCAGTCAAGTACGAGTGGAAGAGACCAATTAGACCAATTAATGATCTAGTGGCTCGAGAGTTATTTTTGGAGAATTTGCGATTATATGCAACACAACTCAGGTTATGGTAAAAGCAAATTAATATTTATTATATCAAGATGTGCTTTAGAATGACAATGCTTGTAGGAGTAACTTACCGGAAAGTTACAATAGTTCTACCACCTTTAATATGACCGATCTGACACTATACTACAAGGAGTCAGAAGCTTCGATAGATGAGGTCGAAGCTCCTATACCCCTGGGAGACTGACACGGGATCGGGAGCTTCCCGCACTTTTCTGTGACCGCTGCTACAATACCATCAACTGTAGCGGGAGTCATGGCTTAGACCAGTCCAGTCGACCCTTCCTTCACACGGATTTCCCTCCTATTTGGACTGGGGTTCACTCCTATTTACCTTCAGTCTATAAATTTGCTGTTTTCATGTTTTAGGGCAGGTTTGTGCTTGGTTTTCTGTCAGAAGAGCCGCCGATGACTTAGTTTCTCCCTTCTAGGGCTATATCCAGAGGCGAGAAGGTACTCCGGCTATAACTCAGCCTGAGGTGGTGATTATCTCCCACTCTTCTTGTGATTATCTCCCACTCTTCTTTCCCTTCGCTGCTGCAGCCCCCTTTTCTTGTTGCAGCCGCCTAGGACAGCCACAATTGCTATCCTAGGTGATTATCCCCCCCCCCCCCCCCCCCTCCCCTCCCCCCCCCCACCTCCCCTCCCCTT